GATTTGCCTCCGATGTCGGGCATTTGTCGGCGATTTCACAAAACCTGTCGGCGAGTGAAAAATCGGGCTAATATCGTGCAGTGTGAACTCGGCATTAGTAACACATACAGCTGTTCCCTCACCACAGTGCAACAGTGAAAAGGGACCCCTTTCAAACAGTGTCGCGTTCCGAACGTTGTTTAAGCGACACACACCGGTATTGCGGTATTTTAAAAATTCATATCATAACAAAAATAAACACCGGTATTCGGTATGAACCGGTATACCGCCCAGCACTACAAAATTTCATAATTTACTATTTATTTTACACAAATGTCAGAACATGCATTACTGTAAACATAACGGACAACATTTCAATTAAGTTTCTGTATTCAGGTCAAAAATAAAAAATAATATGTCTGAATCAACCAGACAACATCTAGTGACCACCAACAACATTTTAAGGGTCAGAAGTAGAAATAGGTAACAGTTGCATGTTTTTATAGTGGAATGAGAAGGCATGATTATCGACCGATGCACATAATCTCTGTAGGCTTAAATATTCATATCATAGATGTATTAGGCTACACGCAGTATAGACATAATATGGATATAAAGCAGATCTATGCTAGCGTACACTCTTAAAAATAAAGGTCCTTAATTGGCATTGATGGTTCCATGAAGAATCTTTAACATCAATGCAACCATTCCATTCCACAAAATGTTCTTTTTTGGCGGAAACAGTTTCTTTTAGATTAATAAAATTTTCATTACACTACGAAAAAACGGTTCTTTTAAGAACTGTTCACTGAAACTTTCTTTATGGAACCCAAAAATAGTTTTTCTGTGGCATCAGTGCACAAACACCCTTGGATCCGTTTATGTTTAAGAGTGTACGTATATGATTATGCATGTTGTACAAAGTGTATTTAAACAAGATAGCACTGTATTCCATGTGTGGAAAAAGAAAGTTAGTTGCTTGATCTCATTAAGCGAGTTTGATTATTGTGCTTCAAGTTTGACATACTTAATACATAACATCTAAACCGGGGTCACGGCAACCATCTGAAGCCCGTTGGTTGATCTCCAAAAGCTGTATTTCTGTATCCTGTTTACACTATTGCTTACATCTGTGTTGGTTACTGTCTTCCATTTAATTCTGAGCCTAGTGCTCTGTTTTATTAGGTGCCCCATGCTTACAGAGGCGATCTGAGTGGGTCACGAGATCGTTGATGTCATGACTCGTGTCATTTGCGTTCATTTGCGTTCCCCTCACTCCACGCCAAATGCAAACAGTCCTTATGCTTCTGTGCATGAATCCACGCCTCTCCCCACTGATAAAGACCTATTGTTTCAGTCCAGGCCGGGTGTGACGGTGTAATGATGATGTGATAGTTTAAAAAAATTAGGTTATTGTGCACTTTGTAGGATTTGAGGAAATTTCAGCCCTGCTGATCCTGACGTCCTGTGATTTGGCTTGCAAATATCCTTATTTCTGGCCAACCCTTTGTTCCCTGTCTGAAAAACACGATTAGACCTTTGAGAACATCCAGGTTTAGATCGGCTACCCTGGAAAATTTCCATTTATGTGTCCGTCTAGCCAGTTGTGGAGAGATTTATACATAGGCTTTTTTAAGTCTACCCATACATATAATGTACTGGCTTGTTACCAGTCAGATTAGTTATGCAGTCAATGGGTCTCAATGGGTCATGGGAGTTGGAATTAGGGGTCAGGAAATCTAAACTGGGAAAGCCTCGGACCATGTTACATTTCTGAGCTTCAATTATTACTATATAAACCTTTTGGGTAATATTAATATTTGGGTAAACAGTAATATTGACTATACTGCTACATCTCTGATTTTCATTTGAGAGTCAAATTTAGATAACCAAACCTTTGTTAGTTCTTGTAGTCTAAAGCAACATTTCTTTAGCTAGTCTGAACCTTAAGAAGTTTGTGCTCATTATACAACTGGTTGTTTATGAAAATTTTGACGCAGTCGACCTGAGTTCAAATCCAACCTTTGATTCATTCAATTCATTCTTCTCCCTTTTCCCATTGCATACCAGAACGGAAAGGCATTTATTTTCAATAAAAAATGAAGGAAATATTCGAAAAGTGGAAATAAAGCACCTCATTTCATAACAGTGTTTATCAGGTAGGGTTGGGGTAGGTGTAGGGAGGGCTTTATTGTCCCAGTATAAGGCGGCATCCATTTAATCATTTGAATAAATATGATAATTTACACTCAATAGTATACTGTTTTATAATGTACTACAATATTAATACTTCTATTTAATGACTCATGTGTCATTTGCGTTCATTTGCATTCCCCTCACTCCACGCCAAATGCAAACAGTCCTTATGCTTCTGTGCATGAATCCACGCCTCTCCCCACTGATAAAGACCTATTGTTTCAGTCCAGGCCGGGTGTGACGGTGTAATGATGATGTGATAGTTTAAAAAAATTAGGTTATTGTGCACTTTGTAGGATTTGAGGAAATTTCAGCCCTGCTGATCCTGACGTCCTGTGATTTGGCTTGCAAATATCCTTATTTCTGGCCAACCCTTTGTTCCCTGTCTGAAAAACACGATTAGACCTTTGAGAACATCCAGGTTTAGATCGGCTACCCTGGAAAATTTCCATTTATGTGTCCGTCTAGCCAGTTGTGGAGAGATTTATACATAGGCTTTTTTAAGTCTACCCATACATATAATGTACTGGCTTGTTACCAGTCAGATTAGTTATGCAGTCAATGGGTCTCAATGGGTCATGGGAGTTGGAATTAGGGGTCAGGAAATCTAAACTGGGAAAGCCTCGGACCATGTTACATTTCTGAGCTTCAATTATTACTATATAAACCTTTTGGGTAATATTAATATTTGGGTAAACAGTAATATTGACTATACTGCTACATCTCTGATTTTCATTTGAGAGTCAAATTTAGATAACCAAACCTTTGTTAGTTCTTGTAGTCTAAAGCAACATTTCTTTAGCTAGTCTGAACCTTAAGAAGTTTGTGCTCATTATACAACTGGTTGTTTATGAAAATTTTGACGCAGTCGACCTGAGTTCAAATCCAACCTTTGATTCATTCAATTCATTCTTCTCCCTTTTCCCATTGCATACCAGAACGGAAAGGCATTTATTTTCAATAAAAAATGAAGGAAATATTCGAAAAGTGGAAATAAAGCACCTCATTTCATAACAGTGTTTATCAGGTAGGGTTGGGGTAGGTGTAGGGAGGGCTTTATTGTCCCAGTATAAGGCGGCATCCATTTAATTCAATTCATTCTTCTCCCTTTTCCCATTGCATACCAGAACAGATTTTTCAATAAAAAATGAAGGAAATATTCGAAAAGTGGAAATAAAGCACCTCATTTCATAACAGTGTTTATCAGGTAGGGTTGGGGTAGGTGTAGGGAGGGCTTTATTGTCCCAGTATAAGGCGGCATCCATTTAATCATTTGAATAAATATGATAATTTACACTCAATAGTATACTGTTTTATAATGTACTACAATATTAATACTTCTATTTACACTTATGTCAAAGAAAATGCTGCTATTATTTTTAAATATTGACTAAATTTGCACTTAGTGTAAATAGCATATCACTAAGAAAATACTGAATTTTCACTTAGTGTAAATAGAATCCATTTCTATTTGTACTTAGTGTAAATAGCATCTATAGTGCAAATAGCCACTGCCTTTTTTTTCTTTATCATGATATCAGGAGAGTTGAAACACTCTAGACTTTTAAACTTCATGCCCCCCCCCCCCCCCCCCAAAAAAAAA